GATCACTATGACATGGCCTTGGATGCGCTGGAAGGAAATCAGAAAGCAGATGTAATATACACAGACTTTGCAAAAGCATTTGACAAATGCGATCATGGCGTAATAGCCCATAAAATACGTGCTAAAGGAATAACTGGGAAAGTGGGGAGACGGATCTTCAACTTCATAACAAATCGAACACAAAGAGTAGTGGTCAACAGAGTTAAAATCGGAGGCTGGCATAGTGAAGAGCTCTGTTCCACAAGGCACAGTATTCGCCCCCATCTTATTCCTTATCCTCATATCAGACATAGACAGAGATATACACCACAGCACCGTATCATCCTTTGCGAATGATACTAGGATCTGCATGAGGCTGTCATCTGCTGAGGACGCGGTTAGCCTCCAAGAAGATATAAACAAAGTTTTCCAGTGGGCAACGGTAAACAATATGATGTTCAATGAGGACAAATTCCAACTACTCCGTTATGGAAAACTGGAGGAGATAATAACTATAACAGAGTATACTACTGACTCCGGCCATACAATAGAGCGGAAAAATAATGTAAAGGACCTGGGAGTAGTAATGTCTGAGGATCTCGCTTTCAAGGATCACAACAGTGCCACGATCGCACGTGCAAAGAAAATGATAGGATGGATAATAAGAACTTTCAAAACGAGAGATGCCAAGCCAATGATGATCCTTTTCAAATCACTTGTTCTCTCTTAACATCTCCATTCAAAGCAGGTGAAATCGCAGATCTAGAGAGTGTACAGAGATCCTTTACTGCACGTATAAGTTCTGTCAAGCACCTTAACTACTGGGAACGCTTGGAAGCACTTGACTTGTACTCGTTGGAAGGCAGGAGGGAGAGATATATCATAATCTACACTTGGAAAATCTTGGAAGGAATGGTCCCAAATCTGCACTCAGAAATCACTCCTTACGAAAGTAAAAGACTGGGCAGGCGATGCAAAATGTCCCCAATAAAAAGTAGGGGCACCATTGGTACACTAAGGGAAAACACCATAAGTGTCCGGGGCCCAAAACTGTTCAACAGCCTCCCATCAAGCATTAAGGGAATTGCCAATAAACCCCTGGCTGCCTTCAAGAGAGAGCTGGACAGATACCTAAAGCCAGTGCCGGATCAGCCGGGCTGTGGCTCGTACGTTGGACTGCGTGCGGCCAGCAGTAACAGCCTGGTTGATCAGGCCCTGATCCATCGGGAGGCCTGGTCATGGACCGGGCCGCGGGGGCGTTGATCCCCGGAATAACCTCCAGGTGGTGCTATCCCTGCGCACTTATCATGGTGGCAGCGATGTGCGGGGTGCTGAATATTCATAGTGAGGGCTGCTTTTCTTATTTGCCAGGGAAAAACTGGAGACTCCCCTTGTTTATCGCCAAAGAGTCGAGCTGCTGCGTGTTTGTGGAGAAACACAGTATAAATTGGTAAATAAAGTTGTGAGAGTCGCCCAGGGGACTGGGTGAAGGGGATGAAAGAGTGGAAAGATTAATGGGTAGATACATGGAGGGATGCATAGTAGTTAATAATAATAATAATAATAATAATCATAATTATTTCTACAAGTACATGATACAACTTATACAACCGTAGCTGACATCACTGACATACTATATAGAAAGTCCCTGGTTATGCAGAGCATTTCTGGCAGATTAGGTTAGTTTTGTCCCCAGGATGCAACCCGCATCAGTCGGCTAACACCCAGGCACCTACTTATTGCTAGGTGAACAGGAACAGCAAGTATCTTAAGGAATCACGCCCCAATATTTCCACCCGTATACGGGATCGAACCACGGACCTCAGTGTGACATTTACAGAACAGTGACCGTGTAGGTCACTCAGCACACAAACAGGCATAAAAAATATACACAACACAAAAAAGGATAAAAGCAACAGAAAATTCCATCAACGACCATAAACACTTAACACAAATACTATCGTACTAAATTGAAATAGCCAGTATCAATTAAAATGTAGTAATATCAAAATGATTGCCCTAAAAGTTCCCCGAGATCCCTACAGGTGCCTCGGTAACAATAAAAGCCATATAACTGAAAGCAAACTGGAGGTCAAAGCTTCGAACCTTTAGTGTTACATATACATTTTTTAATGTGATCCACAGTCAGCCACAGATCAAAAGCTACACAGAGGGCGACAGGAGCACTTTTGTGCAAATGGCTATGGATGAGATGTTTGCCTGATTGGAGAGGTGGGTGAATAGATGGCAGAATGGGTGAACAGAAGGATGAGTGATTGGAATGAGGGGGGGGGATTAAGAGTCCCGTTCAGGGCAAATTACAAACGGGTTATCAGTTGTGGTCCATGACCATCGTCTAGTTTCCATTCCCAACGTGTGGTGCTGGGATACCTGTGTTTGTTACTGGGTGGGTGAGGGCCGTGTCGTGCTAGAATTACCTACATGATTGTATTACTGAGTGTATGGGAGCTATGGGATTTGGCTTCATTTGCCTAACCATTAATATGGGAGGTGATCTGCAGTTAGTGTGATGAAATGCGTCACGCCGTAGATGTGCGTCTATATGCAGCCTCCATGAGAAAATTACACAGCCTCGCCGGGGGAACTACACAGCCCTTCAGCGTGTTGTTGAAAGTGTTGTGGGGGTTGCCAAGCTGTCAACCCCATGATGGATAACCGCCCCCACACCTTCCTGCTTCTCTCCGCGCCCTGAAGCCTATCCTCATCTCCATCTCCACCCCTAACCCCAACTTGCCTCCCCACCCCTCGCTTTCTCGGGCCTCCTCGTCCACTGTGCGGCTCGTGTTCCCTCACACCTCCAAGACTCCATAAACCACCTCAAAATTTACCATACCTGTCACACTAGTAAGATCTTGCAGCGCTTATTATTATATTACTGAGGAAGTGGTAAGTCCAAAAGGAGTCATGCAACTCCTGGGAAATAGGACGCAGGTCACAGGTAAATCTAATCATACAGGGAAGGGGCAGCTTCAGTTTCTTGGCTCCGGGAATCCTTCACCGGCATGACAGTGCCCCAGTTGAATGGAAAGTCCCGTTGAGCGATCCCCAGGTCTCCGTCAGGTCATCCTGTCATGTTGACGATGCAAGTTAGTCTGACCTTTCAGCTCTGCTCTCGTTGCCATCGTTCTACGGATACGTTAATTTGATTTTATATTCCTGTAAGTATTTTTGTGATTTGTCTATAGAGTAAACCATACACTGACCGCATGGGTAATATATACACTATTATAATCATAAATAAGCGCTAAACCCACAAGGGTTATACAAATAACCTACAGTCAGCAGTGCAAGAAAAACGTGACTGTTTTGAGTATAACTAGAGAAGCTCATAAAACGTTATCGCCTGATGCGGGTCTCTGGTTCAATTGAAAATATTTGCGTTTTTCTGTACTGTTGAATGTGGGTTATTCCTATGTGAGTTTGTCTCGTATTCCTATTATTTTTACCTGTGACCTGTTTAGAGTGTTTTCCTACTCTCGTGGCAAGACCTTCCCTGTTTGTTGCCTAGTCAACCAGATTATTGCTATTGGCGGCTTGTCGACCCACAAAGCCATTACTCCGCGGAGGTAGTGATTCAGTTTCCTTATGAAAGCTTCTACACTTGTTCCAGTAATATTTCTGATATCTGTTCGTAACGGTATCAGTACTCTGTGAAGACCTATGGATGTTGACATAGTGTAACCCATGGCTACTAAGATGGTGTCTTGTATTCCTGTATGGATACTGTGCCTTGTATCCTGTGTATATGTCAACGAGTCCTCGTAGCTCACGTAAGCACCTATGGATGTCTCGCATACGGTTTTGCAGCAAATTTCTGTTAGGTTAGGTATATGGATAATGGTTAATATTTTCTTGATTTTTAGGTACAACGTTATTTGGATCCTTGTTATTAAAGTCTCTCTTAATATTAAGTTATCATTCATTTTGGGAGATTCATCAGTTCAGGAAACATTATAATTTTCATATTTTTTCAGTAAGCGCTAAACCCACATGGGGTCAAAAAACACGTTTACTATTCCTTAGATGGTGTTTTCATTTTAGTATTAATAGAAATACTGATAGTTTAAGATAGGAAATTCAAATGGTAATCACAGCGCCTGTAGACTGAGGGTTAATGAAGATTTTCATCCCAGGAGGGACTTGCATCAATTATTTGGATCCAGAGATCTTCACTGGCATTATTCCCCCCCCCCCTCCATTTCCCTTGAAGAGTTAATACGTAATAATTATATGTAAAGTAGAATGTAATGAAAAGATTTGTACGTGAAATACAGATTGATGGCAAATTAGCTATGGTGAGGCTGTATAGTCAGTTGATGAGTCAGTTGTAGTGAGGTTGTATAGTCATCTCATGACTTAACTGTAGTAAAGTTGTATAGTCAGCTAAATTTTTATTGTATGTTATCGTGATTTCTTCCTAGAGCAATGATTTGTATATTTATAGGGAGCGGTAAACCCGTGTGGGTCACTCAGACGCAGAGTAAATGGTGGAAATACGTCTGTCTACTAATTTCGAGACTGCCACTTGACACTACTTTCTGATGAAGGGTTCTTTATTCAAGTTATTTTACCAATCCTCCCAGCCTGCTGGCCTAATAAACACCAGACGAACCTGGCCCAAGGCCGGGCTGCAGGAATAGAAGTCTCGAAACCCAAGAAAGGTGTATCAAGGTTTCCCTTTCTTGGATTGAATCTTACTACGTCTCATTTCTAAGCGCTGCCTGGAAATGAGACGATGAATTAAATATTCCACTCCTTGAAGGGTAATGGGATTAATGTAAGACATAGGAGCTGTTTTACTACCAGAGTCGGCGTCAGGCTCTCTATGAAAGTGATTAGAGATTTCTAATTGGGATCTAAACTTCAGTGGTCAGGCGGGTAGAGCATGCGTCTGGGAAGCTCTGTTCCACAGGTTCACCCCCCCCCCCAACTCATTCTATTTAAAGCTGTAGCAGTCACAATATTGGTGAGTATAGTTGGTGAGATCTTTATTTTTGCAGGCGCGAGCACACGGTCCCCGCACCAACTACGACGTGGCCATGTTGCAGTTTGAACAACTGATAGCTAATAAGCATTTTCTTCTCTCCTTCGTCGATACCCTCGAGTCGCAGAAATCCTTCAGTATCAGAGACAAGTAAGCAGAGTCCCAGAAGTTTTCTCAAAGTATTTGTTGCTAATATTCCGTCCTCCAAGACGTGCCACATTATCATCTCTCCTTCTGCTGTTTCCATATTTGCTACATCATCTTTGCCTCGCCATTGCTTCTGTTCTCTAAATGCTAATATGTAGTAAATAAAACGTAACTTCTATAAAACCTGCAACTAAAGTGAATACAAGACTTAGACATGAATTTGATCTGGATTTTGTTACACTAATCAGTGTCACAAAATTTAAAAGATAAAGAAATGTAAACCTATTGAATGAAAATTAAATATTGGAATGGAAGACGAATGGGTAGCCTCGCTAAATTATCAGGTGCATATAAAGTAGCTTTGAATTGATGTTACCTCTGAAGTTGAGTGTGGGGGATTGATGAGTGGTTAAGAAGTACATAAGTGCTTAGTGTGTTAGATAAGAATATTGTGTAGTGTATAAGAGCATTGATAGGTGGGTATATGCGTTGTGTGGTGAATAAAAATGGGTTGTGTAAGGCAATAGTGTTCTCTGTGTTAGATAGGGATATTGTGTGGCATACAAGAGCATTGTTAGGTGGATAAGTGCGTTGTATGGTGAATACGTTGTTTGGGGGGATGAGTGCTTTGTGGGGTGGGTTTTATGAGGGGAGTGAGCGTCACGCCAATACCGGAGAGACTTAATACTCTACAGTGTGCACACTACATACCCTCCATATATACACTATACAATGTATAGTAATACACTCATCACGCACGATGCCTGAGTGTTATTTTAGGTGCAGTAATTCAGGGCATGAAGCAGTGTTTTATGCTGGTAATAATAGCGTGATCATGTAATTAGTGGCTGCCTGCTGTGAGTGGCGAGAGTGGAGGTGGTGGAAGGTGAGTTGGGTAGCTTGTGAGAGGGAGTGGAAGGTTGGTTGGGGAAGGTGAGTGGGAGCAAATAACATCAGTGGGAGATGTGTGAGTGAAGGACGTCAATGAGAGGTGTGTTGGAGAGAGGATGCCAGTGGGAGATGTGAAGGATGTCAGTAGGAGACCACTAACCATCTTGTCGTTGTAGGGTGAACGTAGCGTCGCTAGTGACAGTGCTGCAGATGGGTAGGATGGAGTACCTGACGGAGGTGATGCGCTGCCTGATGCTGCGTCTTGTGTCGTCTGCAGCAGCCACCAAGCATCCCCAGCTGATGTTGCGCAGGACGGAGAGTGTGGTCGAGAAGATGCTCACCAACTGGATGGCGCTCTGCATGTACGGCTACCTGAAGGTGATTATTATTATTATTGTTGTTGATATAACTCCTGGAGAATTGGAGGAGCCATCAAATTTGATCCTAGGAAGGACAGGGTAGTTAAAATTCTTTTGATGAAGAGTCCTTCACTTGCATCTAGGCACACCCACTGGAAGAGACCTCAGTATGAGCGCCTTTTCACCAAGTAGAATTAGTCACAATACCGTGGCTGGCACAATTACTTGCCTCGTCCTCCAGCATTTTCTCTGTCGTGGCTTTATAATGGTTCATGAAGAACTGAAGTGTCGTCTAATGTTGCCACTCCAAATTGTGGGTTAAATTGCTTTCTTTCATCACTTCTTGCTTCTTCGCAGACTAATTTATGGCTTGGGAGCTAAAATTGCTGTTGCGTCAATACGAGGTTACGAGGTTATGTTACCCAATGTTAAGTATATTTATCTGCCTTGCATTATGTTTATTTTCCGGTGTAAGAGGATTAGCAGCTACTAATTATAGTTGGTGGTGGCTGTACAAGATCCCACGCTGCCTCACTCAATCCTAGCACACAACTATTAATCTTCATTATTTGTGTCAGGGGGATGCGGGCACGGCGCTGTTCCTGCTCTACAAGGCCATCAAGCACCAGGTGGAGAAGGGCCCAGTGGATGCCCTCACCCACGACGCCCGCTACTCCCTCTCGGAGGAGCGCCTTCTGAGGGAACAGGTGGAGTTCAGCCCCGTGGTGAGTGTGCAGCCTACCAACGCTACACACAGCTCCTGCTGGTGTTGGCAGTGGATTTTAATGTCACTAGTGCTTTTGGATAAATGGAGTGGATATACAAACTAAAGTCTTCCCTTAGGTTAAACGCTTAAGCAACTAATTCAGAGTATGAAGGACACTTAAATCTTTTATATAGTCAAAATTTAAAGGTTTCATAAATGGTTTATTTAGGGAAAAGGTAGAATCTACCTGGAAGAGAACCGCCTAGAGTAATGGAGGACAGACGGTAGTGATGGTAATGCTTGCGGGGGCTTTTGTATGGGGCTTACGGCCACTGCTTTGAGGGGGGGGGGCAGGGCTGTCCTCGCTTCTGCTGGTGCTAGCTTCAGGGAAATACAACTCGACCAAAGCTTCGTACTTTATACTAGCAACTTGGTTCGGCCTCTTAACTGATATTTTTACATCTAGAGTTTTGTCGCGGGTTCATTATACATGGAGAAACAATGCTCTAAGATTTTTAGATTTTGCTGCCAAAGCTGCTGTTAGTTTATAAAAGTTAAAATAGCTGACTTATGTACAGTGCTAATATTATGTTGAAAAACGTGTACTGTACACGTTCAGACAGTTTCTTTGTTTTGTGCTTTCTATTTCGTACATTCTCTTATAGAATACTGGATTGCAAATAAAATGATACTGCAAAAGTGCCAGGGTGTGTGTTTACCGTTGGTGGTAGTTGTGGGCCGTGGGATAATTCACTTTTTTTTTTTTTTTTTTAACTTCTGGTTCTAGTGTGGACGAGGAGGAAAGGGGCAGTGATTGCCTCTTAACAATGAGTAGGAGAGGCGTACAAGACTATTTCTCACGTTCCCTTCTGCTCCATGTCGCCAGTGCTCACTGCATACGAGATTCATGACTAGTATAGATTAATTTTATATTTTAGCACATTGTGTTGATTGCTGAAGTCTTGTATTATTATTTTCACAAAAAATGGGCCAAACTTATGCAACGCAGTCCATCGTGTCTCCAAACATTTTCTTAATTCATTATGATTTAAAGAGCCTGTCGCAGTATATATGAATTGTCAATAGTAACTACGACTGTAGAAACAAGGCTGCACACTGGTGTGCCTGACAGCAGTTTATTTACCAATGGTAGTGGTGGGGAATCATTTATAAACTGGCGGCGAGGAGAATCAACGTCATAATTCTTTCACGGTACATAAAGACTTGTCCCATGAAAGCCTAGACGCGCCCAGCACCGCACAGACTAAAATGGCTATTGACTGCTCACTGAAAGAGACTTATTGAGTACACAGCTGTTATGTTTTTTTTGAGTTAACAGTGTAAGTGAAGGTGCCACGGCTAGACCTGAGATTCAACTTCTGGTCTCCTAAGAATCATTAGTTTGTGTGTTGTCTGCTCTTTGTCTAGCTGTGTTCCTTACTTCGCTTAGGCTTTAGTTGAGTACATTATTATTATTATGAGGGAGCGCTAATCCCGTAGGGATTATACAGCACCTGTGGAGGGGGGGATTGAAGGCATTCAGGATCAGTTCAGGGAACGGGAGCACAGATCAGGAACCCCTCGCCAGAATCAAGGAACCTCCCTTGAAGGGTTGGGTACAGTCGAGAGATACAGTACGGTATTAGAGCGCTCTTTAGCCTATAGCCAGGACACTACCGTAGACTAACTTACCTCTGTGTAGGGTATTAGTATGCTCCAAAGTCTGACTGTAGTGTTGACTTTACCATCAACTAGCAACGCTCCATAGTCTATCTTTGGTGACTCACAATACGCAGCTTCGCTTCACCTTTGGTTTTGCTGTTAAACACTTGACAGGTTCACGCATTATGTACTGAATCAGTCAGGTTGTTGGCTAAGTGGACCCGCCAGCAGGTAAACCACAGGAAGAAAATTCATTTTGGATGCGGTCCTAGCCCACTGCTCAGCAATCGACGGTCCGCTCGGTCTTGTCAAGTCAGGAACACAAATTAATCTGCTGGTTTCGTTAACCGTGAGTAATACACACAAATTTTAATATGCTCATTTCTGTTATGGTATCTCAAAAGGCTAAGTTATTAATCACTAATATTGTATTTTTTTATGTTGATTTTTTGGAGAGGAAGGGAAGTTTTGTAAAAAAAATAAGTTTGTACATGGTATTATTACAGTCACAGAGGAGTGCTGAACCCTTGGGGGGTCATGTAACGCCTGGGGGAATGGGAGGTATCCAGGTTCAATCCAAGGAAGGGGAGGGCAAGTATAATCCCTTGGATCAAGAGCCCCTCGCTATCATAGTACATGTTACAAAAGAGTGCAGTTAGGTAGTGCGCCTCTCATTGATGCTGAATGACCCTTACTGGTTTATTGCTTCACATAACTAAATCTCTCCCAGTGCTACTTATTTTTTCAAAAGTACTTTGAGTCTGCACCTGGGGACGGTGGCCGTCTCGACTGATGACCCTCTCACACTAATGTGCTTCATTAGCCCGAATCTATTTCTCAATGGGAGGCCAGGTGGCTCTTATCCTATAGTGGTGGTAGTGGTAGCCTTGGTACTGCTAGGATAGGAAGAAAGGGTATGAGAGGCGCAGAGTTATGGTAGTGGAGTGGTTGTTGGTTTTGTTGGGAATGCATGAGAATAATGGCTGTGTTGAGGAAAGAGTGTAAGACGAACAGGGTTGTGGCAATGGACTGTTTGGCGGTGCTGCTGCTGAAATGAGTAGATAGAAGAGAGTTTGAAATACACTGAGTAATAACATGGGTGTTGACAGATACCTGTTCACGATGCGAGGTGGGAAACATACAAGGCAAGTGCAACAATGGCTGTTTCTTGACATGACCGTTGACAATTTTTTTTATAACGTATTGCATGAACCGCAACTTATATAGAGGGCCGCCAAACAAACAAAATTGAAAAACATTACAGATCCATCCATGCATTTCCGGATCTTGCCTACATTTAAAGCTCCTAATGTATTCTAGTAAGCTTGTATCTGGAAATGTTTCTCTCGGGGCGAGCGTTACCAGTCTGCTGACAGCAAAACCAAAATACAAGCTTACATATCCCGTCACAGCGGGGACGAGAGGAGAGGCTTGTCTGCATGTTGAGGCTAGATATTGTAAGGCAACAACTGTAATTGATGTGGGCATGTTTGTCGCGGTGGATTACACATGCCTTGTTGTCCACTCACCAAACATATGCTCTTGAATCCTGGTGATAATGACCAGCGATATTTCAGATCCAACGAAGTTATTGCATTATCCGAGGGAGTGTGTAGATACCTACATTGTCACCCCTGCTGCTGTGCGTGGTTCAAGTGGAGTAGCCAGGTATTGGGCGAGGTTTAGCCTTGCCCAGAACTTCTCAGCGCTAGTTTCGATATTCTGTGTATTCGATAATACTCTCGAGATATCACTGCTGCTGTGTGTGGTTCCACATCCCTGTTGCTGCGAGTAGTTACCGTGTTGTGTTGGAATTGTTTTATCTGTCTGATAATCGACCGCAGTGTACAAATAACCTGCACATAGGAGAAAGAAGCTTATGACGACGTTTCGGTCCGACTTGGACCATTGATCACACACACACACACTAACACGAAGGTGTTAGTGTTCGAGTTATATGTGTATTGTTCCAGTCACGGTATTGTGCGCCTTTGTTCTTGAATCGATCACAATGCTGCAGGAAGGCAGCTGCTACTGGACAGAGCCAAATTGTGTGGGCGTGAATAGAATTGCATGGGCTTTAAAAATCCTATTTGGAAGGGTGTCAAGGATAATATGGGAGTGGCTGTAACAAGGATACTAGCCCTCATTTCCTGCTCTACCGTACTCGGCACTCGGACCCCTAAATATTTGGAAGAGCGTCTTACAGAAGTACAACGTTTGTATAAAATATAATCCTTGAAAAAGAATAAAAGGAGAACAGGCGTTGAGAAGGAACAAAGACACTAAAAACGAAAATAAGTCGAACTACAAATGATTGAAAATAGGACAGTCTTATTGTAGGCACCTGGCCTTAGCGGTCAGCATTCAGCGCACAACCGAGAAGTCGCAGGTTCAGTCCCAGGGCAAGGCGAGAGACATTTGGCTGTCTCCTTACAGCTAGTGCCCCTGGTCACCTAGCAGTTAAGTACCTGAGCGTTAATCGACTGTTGCGAGTCATACACTGGGAGTTGTAAATGTTTGAGAAACTCAAACCTGGAAGGCTGCAGCTTGAGTTAAAAGGCTTTATATTTATGTGAATCATCATTTTGGCATATTTGTGGGTCATTCAGCCCAAAGACTGGTGGGGGATCGATCCTCCGTCAGCTAATCGCGAGATAAAATGCATTTCTTAAAATGCGAAAAATGCGTTCCTTTTTTTGTTGAATGACTGTAGATATCACATAAAACTTAATTTTTTACAAAGGGGGGGGGGTTAGGATCACTAAGTTGGAGAGAACTCCAGAGAGCAGATCATAATATTAAGAGGAATTTTCCTATTGCTCGTAAACGCAGATTGGGTACTGCTAAATAACATTTGTTTTATTAACAGCATCATTTGATGCATGGTTGAAGACCATGAGCAAAGACCGAGGATATTTATGGAAATGCTTGGGTCATTGAACGTTATTCACTCCACACATACTTGGGGGCATGAGGAAACACCTACTATTTCGTAATAATGGTAGAATTACCGACAGAAATGTTAAACAGATGGACATAGATGTAGTTAATGTGACATTTTATTGTGGGAACATTTCGCTCTCCAAGATCTGAGTCAAGCCGGCTTGGCAAAGCTCCTGGAGAGCGAAACAGTGCCACAATGAAATGTCACATTAGTTGCATCTGTGTCCATTTACCAAACACGTACCATTTCGTATATAAAACAATGTTTTCTCATGTTCGATGTATCACATATCTAATGATGCTCCTGATACAACAGTTGACGCTTAGCCTTACCCAGTCTTCCTTATGTGACTTTTGTAACTAACATTATTCTTCTCCGCTCCTGCTCTTCTGACGTGTTCCGTTACCACCAGTAATATCCTCGGCGCATCTTTCTTGCCACCTTATTGGCTCCTGGTGATGAACTGGTGAATAAGGAAAAATGATGGGCGGTACCTGGATGCGAGGAGGGACATACACACGTTCTCTCCTCCACACACTTTTCTCTTACTCCTCTTTTTCTATTTACAGATATTCTTTAATTCGCTTCCAGTGTTTGTTCCAGGTCTCTGGCTGTTACCCTTGAAATTTATAACTTAAAATATCAACTCCCACCTTTAGATTAACTCTGAAGACATGCTCTCTCATTGAGGTTATTAATTCAAAATGTATAATCCAACCTTGAGCCCCACGTAATGAGATAATTGTCCGAGGGGAGAAAAGTGCAAGCTAGGTTGTCTTGACACTACCTGGATCTCTCCTCGTTGTCTTGACACTACCTGGATCTCATCGTCGTGTGAGCAACAGCTCACATAATTTCTCCTGCTTTTCTTACCTCTTCTGCCCACTTTTTTTTTCCCCTGAAGCTTTTTGCCTACCTTTTCATGCACCTGCCTTCCATGCCACCTCTCATACCACCTTGGCCGACTCATAGGCTCAAGCTAAGGGAATTCACGCTCTCATTTTCCTTGTGGTGGCTCTGACCTGAGGCTCACTTTCTTATTCTTCTTCCTTTTTGGATTTTTCTTTTGCGTGTCGAAACCCAATTCACAGGTGGCGTGCGGAGCAGCTGGTGAAAAATAGCCCCATCTGGGTAAATTGCATAATCAATGAGCCGCAGCAGCCACTCGCTCAACCGGCCCCCTGGGGAGGGCTGGAGACCGGTTGACGAGGGCAGGAGACCTGTGAATGAAAGGAATTCCCATGAATGAGGGAAAAGAATCGTGAATACCCACAAATAAGAGGAGATACGATAATAAGGGTAGGAGATCTGCTGCTAATGGGAGGAAACACTAATAAGAGGCGGCGGCCCGTGCTGATACATCCATTCGATTTACTTTTGGGATTTCGCGTTCTTGTGAACCCTCAATGTATTTCACATCGAATGTTATTGTTACCACACTCAGTTTCACCGAATTGAACAAGAAAAAATCTATACCTTGTGAATAAATTAAGTCTCTTGGTCTAGCAAATTTGAGGTAGTGTTCTTAAGCAGTGCCCTGCTGTAGAAAAATAAGTGTGTTCCTTGGCAGTGCTCTACTCTGGCAACTAAGGGTATGTTCTTAGGCACGACTCTTCAAAGTAGGAAGAGCGTTGCGTCATACAGCTCTAGCTTTGCTATGAAGGGGGATTTGTACTTTGATATATTAGGGCAACACAAATTAAGTGTATGAACGCCTGCAATATTTCTTCGTAGCTGGCATGCGACTTGAAGTACGACCATTTCAGATACTTATGGCCACGGTGGCTGACACAACTATGTTGCCATCCCCTTACGAGCACTACGCCAGGCCACCCCCCCCCGGCCTCCCATCATGCGCCCCTCTTCCCTACACCCACTCACAAGAACCTTCAGCTCCTAGTTCTAGGCGGTTCTGTTCCTGTTAGGCAAACGATTTATTAGTAGTAGTCTCCAAATAAGTCATTTGCTATATTGTACCTTGTATCACCTACATTATTTCTGCATGCCATAGCCTGTTGTAATTATGTCCTATTAGTTTATTACTGTTTAATGAATGTTTTGAGTGAGGGTGAGCAGCTGCGCCTCGTGTTCTCATAATGTATGACTTTCCTATCATATAGGAGGCCGACTTTGTAAAAGATTTACTTGAGCTTTATTGCTAAAAAAAAAAATCTCGTGGGATGTATCTGTAACGATTCCCTTTTAACTTTCTTTGTACACTGACGGTATTTTTTTTGACTTATTAAACCTCGGTGGCAGAGAGCATCTCCTCTTCCTCCTGCTCCTCTGGAATGAGTGAGCTCCTCTTGGAGGGAGTGAGCTTCTGCTCCTTCTGAAAGGAGTGAGCTTCTGTTTCTGGTGGAAGTAGTAGTAGTGAGCCGACAAGTAGATGAAAGACTCATGAAAGAGCGTAAGCCTTCATTAAAACTATTATATTGCACTGGAGAGAGTACCTGACAAGTTAGCAATGCAAGACACTCGCAGCAGAGCTCAAGCTACTCTGTCTTACCTTGCTATGTTTCATATCGCTGTAATAAAAACTCACGCTGTCTCACGTGTTTTCATCATCTACTCCTCCAGGAAGGAGTGGGCTCCTGGCTCCTCCAGGATGGAGCGAGTTCGTATTTTTATTTGTTTTTTTGAGCGAATTCCCGCCGCCCTGCTGGACAGGGAGAGGAGCACCTCTCATGCCCTGAGGTGCCGCCACAACGGGAGTCTCCCGGGCACAGGGTGTTCCTGGCACAGTTAACTCACCTGTAATCGGCTTCCTATTCTCTCCTTGCAGACCATCCACCTGCTTCATGATGACCCCCACTATGAAAAAATTCCCTACCAGACCACCTACAGTGTATGTATGCCTCGGGCGCTGTACACATACTTTGTACATACTTAGTTAACCACAAAAGTGTTCTCTCATATGTTTGAAATTGTAAGCAAACATGGTTACCATACGTAAGCATAGGTCGATGGAATGAAAAGGTTGGATACTATTTACCTCCATTCTGTAACACTGCACATGCTAAACTAATTCCTGGTGCTATCTTACTAATATTAGGATTTAAACGTTTTAACCCGTAGTTGAGCTTGTCGCTGTAGGGTTATGTAGCAAGAGGCTTACTAAACGCTTTTGTAATTGGCGAAAAGTTTCTTTCAGTTTCAAATTATGCATAAAGTAACTGTTTCCGGAAGACCAGGATGGCACATGATCACAGTGGTCACTAGAGCTGAATTCTTCAGGTCCGTAAGTTAGTCGGTAATTCTCAGCCAAGTTTGCCAGACAACCCACTTCCAGGCTCCTCAATACCACCTGAGATATTTGCCTTACATCCGCCAGGTTCACGCCTCACCAGAGAAGGGAGATTAATGAAGAGAATTCAGATATCACACACTGATTTTTAGCCACAGAATTGCAGGCTTTGCTTGTTCGGCAAGATCCGTTTTGCCAAGCAAGTTGAACCTATATTCATTTCTTGGTATAGCTCCCTGAAAATCAGCGTTTTGTCCAGGTTAGGCTTCTTAGACGCTATGCAAAATTATATATTTGCATACCATTTTTATTCTTAACTAATTTGTTTATCCATAAACTGTAATATATATATATTTTTTTAAAGAAAATTCGGCTTGTTTGCTTTGTACTGTAATTTACAGTTGCTATATAGTGTAAAATATTTTTTTAGCGCTGTTACTCAAGTGCCTGGACTAGGCTCAATAGTGCTAGTGGTATATTAGCAGCTGTGATGAGTACCAGCCAAGTGTGTGGGTCATGTGAACACGTTCTCGTGATCAGTATGACAACTGAAGCCTTCGCCTTTCCACACCCACGCCCATAACCCACCTACCACGGGTAACACTCACCCACCACGCCCATCACCCACTAAGTCTCAGACCAGCATTTAATGGATGATCACTGGAACGCTGCTGCCTCATTTGTGACGTGGGGCATTTTGGAGGCTTCCAGTATCTATCATTGAAAGTCAGGGATTTTTCGATGTCCTTATTTAGTGATCCCTAGTATCCTTAGATAAGCGTCTGTTGGGATTTTTAACCCGGAGGGTTAGTTACCCAGGGTATTCCAATAAAGTCGGTGCGTCATCAGGGACTATCTCCTCTTTCTAGTGGGGGATCCTTCAACCTTCTACCCCAGGATGCGACCCACGGCAGTCGACTAACACCCAGGTACCTACCTTCTGCTAGGTGAACAGGGACTGTAGGTGTGCGCAAACATGCCTAACTTTTCGCCCGTGTCGGGGAGCTATCCTCTATCCCTCAATATGTAAGCCGAGGCTGGTTTACAAAGAGACGTGTCTTTTTAAACCAATTTGGCGGTATCAATTACCAAGATTTATGCCAAGCTGAGGCTACCAATAGAACCACGAGTCTGGTGTCGTTGCTTAATGATCCCTGGTATACTCTCATGGGACTGCTTCTCACAAGGTAAGAAGACCACAGTAATGATTCTGATTTTAATGGCTTTCCGGTCTGCAAGACTGACATGAAAAAGTGCATGAGAGGATTACAAACCACTTGACTATCCGCCAAGGTGGGCACGACAGAAAGTGGGTGAATGGGGGTTTTCAGACCGCTGGCCGTCCGCCTAGGTGGGCATCGCAAAATGAAGGGAGTTTCAGATCACTTTTGTCGCAACAACTTTGTGACACTGCATGTATAGGCGGCATTACACTCAACTTTTATTTGTTAAATATATTCTGTACGATTAGTATCTACTTTTTGAGTTATGCATCGGAAATAAGACGTTTGCAGACTCTTATTTATATTCAAGTTATACATTGTATGAGGACAAGTGACTGCAGTTCTATAGGATTATCCCATGGGGAAAGTAAGGTTGCATGTCAGCCTTGACGTTAGCGGACGGAACATCGAGCCTTCGCTACTTCATGAGCTGAATAACCTAAAAGTGATTCGCACTGAACCCCTGGAATGGGAGGCAGTTAAGTGCTATCAAAAGGGAATGATACAGTTCCTTGGATCAAGAGCTCATGAAATTGAGGGGTTCGTAAATAAAACGTAATAATTTATTAAGGGAAAACTGTAAGTTGTATAAAACATAAATTAATCAATAACTCGATGAAACGGTGGTGGTGGTGGTGGTGGTGGTTGATGTTAATGGTAGTGGTGGTTGGTGCAGAAGCGATTGAGTGAATGTTGGATCAAAAAGTAGAGCAACAGCGCCTAGCCGCCCCCTCGTAGATCTGTTATTGTGGTGGGCGGTGGTGTGCAGGTCGGGTGGCTGGGTATACCACCCTTGATGTTGTCCGCCCTCCACGCCCACGCCCGCACCTCCTAGTGTAGTCACTGATAATCCTTACAATTGTACTTGACCACTTTTTGCTAGTTCTGAAATCGCATCGTATGTCAAAGATGTCAGTAGTAGCTGTACAACACTGCACGAGTAGCTCACCAATGTCACTCTTCTCGCACAGTAGATTATGACTTTCAACTCCCACTCTAGTTGATGCATCAAGTAGATAAAAGACTTTTTTCCCGGTTTATAGACTTTTAGATTGCAGGTTTGTGCTCTGGCTGGTAACGTGGTCTTCCTCGCCGCTCCACAGACGCTGACAATGTACGCTGAGGAGTACGAGGAGAAGGTGCAGGTGAAGGTCCTAGACTGTGACACCATCAGCCAGGTCAAGGCTAAGATCTTGGATGCTTTATATCGCAACACTCCACAGTCTCTGAGACCTTCCGTCCACGAGGTCGACCTCGGTAAGTAGCTCCTCCTTACCCCAAGTTCCTTTACTGAGAAATGAAAAATTTTGCAGAACAAGCTTTTTTGGAGGCAGTTTCGCTTTGTGTAAAGCTTTCATTGTGATGACTGGACAGGAGACTATGCAGAGAAACTTATCCAGTGAAAGCTTGTTCTGTGTCTTCGTCAGTATTTGCGGAAATAGGTCACTTGTTTCCATTTGCAAGGATAACTTAGTAGGCAGCTTCTTGCCCTTACATTACCTCTATCTGTAAGAACGATTTATTATCCCTACGAGTTAACACTTCCCCATTAGTATTCTCATTACTATCCAATCACCGTTGAATATGAAGTATTTGTATATTGTTCAAGGTACGTAATTAAACACAACTCAGGAGTACAGTACAAGAAAAAAAATCTGCAGCCACTCTCAGATAATCAGAACTGTCCCCCAATCCTCCTCCGTACCCAGGGAAATCTTTACACAATTCGCAGCTCCAGAAATGTCCTCAATCCATCTCCTTAACCCTGACTTTCTTCAGGACCACAGCTGACCTCTCCACACGTCTACACACGAGTGTTTCTTTTATCTTCTTCCCCCCCCTCTCTCTCTCTCTCTCTCTCTCGCTCTCTAAAAGACAATGCAGAAGAGTCCAGCTATTACTAGGACCAGTATAAACCAACATAGGTCTCCCGAGTTGTATGTGCTGGCTGGTGGTGTCAGATACACCTTGTGTTACTTTTAGAATATATGTGTCGTTCACTGGGCCTCGCTACCATTATGTTTTCTGTTTGTGCGAGACTCTGAGAAACCTGAACTGAAATTGAATTCCAGTAGTCATATACTCGAACACTACTACGTGTCTGAGTAGGGCGTATGGTAGTCTGTCCTGAGTAACCTGTGTGTGTGTTGTGTTGCAGAGTGGCGTCACGGGCGTGCTGGACGTGTGACGCTCAGTGACGAGGATAGGACGACGGTGACGGGCGTGGGTGGATGGAGAGGCATCAACAATCTTGCCCACTACGGGGTCAGAGACTCCGCAGTCATGGCTCTCATACCCCGGCAGAACGACTCATTCTCCTCGAACTGTGAGTGTCCGTGTGTGTCTATACTTCCATATGAGTGCAGGGGTCGAGTCTAGGCTCCTGGCTCTCAT